GATTATGCGTGCAGCACTTCTAGACTATGTCTAGACTACATCCCTCTTTCCACAGAGGGATGTAAATTACACACTTGGAAATTGCAAATGAATCCAGGATTTGAATTTCCCACACTTTATTTGCATAATTGCGTCATGGCACTCTTTCGAAAAAGCTCTTTTTTGAAAGTGAAACCGCAGTCTAGACATGGTTCTTTCGAAAATAGAAGCCTTTTTTGAAAGATCCTGTAAACCTCATTTTACAGGATCTTTCAGGTTTACAGGATCTTCCGAAAAAGGCTCCTATTTTCGAAAGATTATGCAAATGAAGTGTGGGAAATTCAAATCCCGACTTCATTTTCAATTTCAAAGTGTCTAATTTACATCCCTTTGTCGAAAGAGGAATGGAGTCTAGATGTACCCAGACAACATGGCAGTGACATAGAGAGTGTGTATGCCTGGCTAAGTTTCTGAGAGAAGACTCACCGTCTCTTTAAGGGAAATTTTTCCTGCTCTGTTGTCTTTCCCCTTCCCCTGTTCTGCACTCTTTGGAGTCATATGCTTCATCTTGGAGCAGCTCTGCTGACTTCTGTGACTCCCTCTCCCCTTTGCATAAATAGGGTACAGGGGCAAGGGGACACCCTGACTTCAGTACTCCTCTCCCTCAGCTACCCTCCCTGCTCTACACAGCTACCAGGAAAATCCTGGCACAGAGAGATTAAGGTCAACGCTCGCCACTAATTTTGGATGCCTAATCTGAGACTGCTGGACCTAATATTTTGCAGAGTATTCAGAATTATATAGAACTTTTGGAGTTCAAAGTGTAGCTTCCTTTGACTTCAGTTGCAGTTGTGAGCACTTCAACATTTCTGAAGATCAGACCAAGTATTTCAATCCAGGCACTCAAAAAGTGGAACACACAGTTAATGACCACTTGTGGAGAGTTTGATTTCAGTGAGCACAGAAATTCCTAGGAACTCTGGCAGAGGCAGGGGTAGAATTCTCCAGGGCATCATTCAATTGCCTCAATCAGGAGACCACCATTTCTCTTCCTGTGAGCCCTGCCTCATTTCCTGCATACTTTCCAAATTCTGCAACAAATGATCCAGGGAACCTACAGACTGTAGACTCATTTCACTGCACAATCCTAAGCAGATGTATCCTGTTAATTGAATGAAGCTGAAGTTCTGCAAAATAATATCAGATTATGTGAATAAACATTGCTTGGAACACAAGAGGACAGAACTAAATTTGTCCAGGCACCTTTAATTCTGGCATTTCCGAATCTTGGCGTGCTTGACTTTGCAATGTTCTTTTAACACAGTTTTTGGAGCAGTTGCATACAAAGATTGTCCTTTCTAACGTTTTCTGATCCAAAATGCCTGCAATCTAAATTATATAAGTAAACCCCTGGAGTAGTGAAATCAATAACATGTCTTTAACTACATGTACCTATCTATTAACTCCTGTCAAATATTATTTGTACAGGTTGAATCTTCCAAATCTGGGATTCTCTCATGTGGCAACATCCGTGGTCCACCATAACCATGGATGTTCCTGGATGAGATAGACCTGGGGCAGGAGGGCAAATGTGCTTCCAGTGGTGCTGCAGCAGCCTGGGCGCAGCACGATCAGAACTGTCTGCTGCCCAGCAGCACAGCCCGGATCACAGCAGCCCAAGACGGGAAGTCTGGCCAGGCCACGTCAGCCTGAGAGGTGGTGGGGCTGCAGCAGCCGGGCAGCACCAGTATATCTGAGGATGCCTGCACCCAGCCTGTGGCCACAGCAGCCTGGAAGGGGAAGCCGGCTGATAATAGAGGGGCCGGGGCTGTGGTGTCCCAATCAGGCAACACACAGTCAGCAGTGGGGCTGAAGCTGCCCAGCCGGGCAGCAACAGAGATGGGATTGGGACTAGCCAGCAGACAGCCCAGCCGGAATGAAGGAGCTGGTTGAGGGGAAGGGCAGCAGGTTGAGCGGCTTTTGCCAGTAGACCTCCCGTTTTCCAGAAAATTCCCTCTTCTGAGACTGGTCAGGTCCCAAGGATGCCAGACAAGAGAGGTCGAACCTCTACTGTTTCTTTAATACTGTAGCAAGAAGCCTGGTCAGTGGAATGGCACTGGTGCAAGTTATGGGTGGAAGGTCTACAAGTGGAGCAGAAGAGCTTTAATAAGGGGCCTAATTCTCCATTTCCCTGTGCCTTGTGTGGTTATTTACACTAATGTAAAATTATGTAAATTGCAGTCGTTCCTATTTAGCAGCATTTTACATTTACCTTGCAATGGTATGATTGATTTCCTAAATTTCATGGCAATAAAAAATCAGACCTAATGGTTTTCTTATTCTAATCAAGTTCCTGTTTCAATGGTAGAAGTGACTTTATTTTTTCAAACCAGTGACACGGCAACAGTAGTTATCTAAATTCTAAAAAAATAATTGATTCTACTCCACTGATTCTTTCTACCTTGAAAAAGGAAAATAAGAAATGTCTCAAACATGTAAGAGAACACAAAATTTTTGTCCATGTTCTATACCCATCTTTTTTTTTCTCACTATTTCTTCTTGTTTGCAAAGGTGCTGCAGTTTGAAAAAATTGTTTCCTCCTGTTCCACAACCAAACAATAAATTTTACGAACTTCAGGGATCTGATAAAAATACAAAGGTACATTTTTCATATGTAAAATGTGCTTATTGTAAGGATCTATCAGACTGGAAAGTCTGTCACAAAAGGTCAAGGTTTGCATTTCCATTTATAAACATTAAGATTGTTTGATATTGCGCAGCATTTTGTGCCGTTAAAATGTTTGAGCCTCGCCAGTGTCAAGGGAGCAGGACCAAAGCATAAAAATCACTCTTTTGCTAACACTACTGAGTTGCTTCTTTGTTAGTCTAAGTATGCTTGAGTAAGGACTGAGGAGCTCCCATTCTTGTTAGCTGGAATTTTCTCTGAGAAAAAACTTTTAAGAATCAAATGTTCCATTCTTTATCTCTTTTATATCTTTGGGTTAATAGGCATTGTAACAGGGATGTACCCACTGTTGTTTTCCTTGCAAGAGGTGGGGTTCAAAAGAAAAATTAAAGTGAAGAAAAAATTATTGAATACCCTTAACAATTAATTGAATAAGCGGGGGCCTCAAGTGGTAAATCTCTAATCACTCTCATGCATGAAACTAATGGAGATTTTTCTTCCTGTTTCAATACAAGGAATGGATGGATCCACCACTAACAAAATATGAAATTGAAGTAATAACTACTGTTGAAGAAGTTGCATAACTTACCAAAAGCAAAATGAAGCAATTGGAATCCCCAAGCTGAACACCTACAAATCCCAAGGCAATGTTGTACATATTCTACACTCACTCCCTTTCTCTTGCCTACAAATATTACTTAACACTTCTCTGACCCTGTTTTCAATTTCGTATACATTTTGGCAAATTTGGACAGATGGTTTTCCATGCTACATGTCTTCATGCATGAATATTCTTGGCATGTGTCAGAAAAAATAATTCAGAAATTTATTAAAACAACTCTATGGAAAATATGTTATTTTGCCCATATTAAAAAAAAACCCTCTTACAACCTTTTAATTGAGAACCTCTAGGACTTCCCTGCTTTGGAACTGGTGGAAATTCTCTAGAGGTGAAAGGAATGTTTGATTTATCCATCTTTATGAGTATGAGCCCAAGTTTGACCAAGTTATTAACTGTTGAAAAATCACAGATCATATACGCTAAGTAGAGGCTTTTTAAAGAGTCTGGCAGCCAAACTCTCCTAGGTCTTCGTAAAATCATAGAATATTAGAATACTATAACTGGAAGGGACCTTGAATGGTCATCAAGTCCAGTCCCTTGCCCTCATGGCAGGAGCAACCATCATCTAGATCATTCCTAATAGATGTCTATCCAACCAGCTCCTAAATATCTCCAGTGATAGAGATTCCACAACCTCTCTAGAAAATTGAAACAAAAAAGGTGTTTAATACTTTTGCCATTGTTACATTTTCTGTTTTTGTCTTTCTTCCATCATTAAGAAATGCACCGACCCTATCCTTAGGTTATGTCCACACTTACAACATTGCAGTGCTGCCAAGGCAATGCTTTAGAGCAAGATTATGGCCACTTGTAACCCTGTGGCGGAAGGGGGTGTTTTTTCACTTCTAACCAAGAAAGTTGCAGGGCAGTAAAATGCCATGCTTTCTTGTTATTCCTTATCTTCTAGCTAGTTTAATCTCATTGTGTGCCTTGGCCTTACTAATTTTGTCCCTACATGCTTGTGTTGGGTTTTTATAGATGTGGTCATTTGACTTAATTTCATCTTGCATAACTTTTTTTCAAGTTTCACATCATTGCTTGATCTCTTAGCTAAGCCCAATAATTAAGGTAGAGTTCTCAAACTGTGAGTTTGATCTCCGAAGTGGGTTGTAAGCCTATTTAAATGGGGTCACCGAAACTAGTGTCAGTCCTGGCCCCAACAAGTCTGAAGCCCATGCTCCAACACCCAGGGCTAAGGTTACATACCCCCTACCCAGAGTTGTCCTGGGCTTCAGCTTTGCCTAATCAGGCTCAGTCTTGAGTCTCCCCTGCTTCATGGGATCAAGTAGTACTTTTTTTTTGTCAGACGGGGGTCATGATCCAATAAGATTTGAGAACCATTGAGCTAGGGAGATCCCCAGCCTTCTTCATGACCCAATTTAAGAAGGTGGAGAAATACACAATGCTGAAGAACACTCTGAGAACCCAGGACTGCAAAATGCAGTTCCACACCCTGATGGTGGGAGCTGTGGGTAAATGGGATTCCTCACAAGAAGCTGGTGCAAAGAGCATGTGACATTGGTCGGTGCCTTGGCTGACTTATGAGGCAGCTCATGGTATCCAACACCATCATATGGTACAGAGACATTTACACAGAGCACATCGCAGGATGCTGACAATACATGACAGCACCGGGATACATGAACAAGACAACCAACAAGAGACATGATCAAGGAAATAACTCACCTACTTCCCTGACAGACAGTATCTTTTCAGGAAGACCCACTAGACACTGATGGACCCAAGGACAAATTCCACTCATCTCTATCTCAGCCTTATCTCTACTAACTCTATACACTCATTTAAATTTAAATGAAGCCGCGATTATTTAAATCGCGGCTTCATTTCCCTCTGCCGATCTGTCTAATCTACATGCCTTTGCCGACAGAGGCATGTAGTCTAGACACAGCCTTAAAGTCCTAATCTTCACCACGTCCTCTGGCAAGGAGTTCCGAAGGTTGACTGTGCACTGAGTGAAGAAAAACTTCCTTTTGTTTGTTTTAAACCTGCTGCCTATTAATTTCATTTGGTGACCCCCTAGTTCTTATATTGTGGGAATAAGTAAATAACTTTTTCTTATTCACTTTTTCCACACCAATCATGACTTTATAGACCTCTATCATATCCCCCGTTAGGCTTTTCTTTTCTAAGATGAAAAGTCCAAGTCATTTTAATCTCACTTCATATGGGACTCATTCCAAATCCTTAAACATTTTTGTTGCCCTTTTCTGTAAGTTTTCCAATGCCAGTCTATCTTTTTTGAGATGAGGTGACCACATCTGTACACAGTATTCAAGATGTGGGCGTACCATGGTTTTATGTAAAATATTCTCTGCCTTATTCTCTATCCCTTTTTTAATTATTCTTAACATTCTATTTGAAACAAAAGTAAGGGTCCCATGATAACTCATCATTCTCCCCCTCTCCCTCCGCTGTTTAAAAGCAGGTCTTTTTTTTTTTTTTTTTACTCAACAAATTGTATCTTGACAACCCTAGAGGTTCCTTGAAATTCTTTCAAGCTGAAAAAGGTTCGGTTGTCAAATTAAATTGGGAAACTCTGCTCTAGATCATTCATAAATAAGTTGAATAGGATGGGTCCCAGCAGAGACCCTTGGAGGACCCCACTAGTTTCCGGTCTCTACTCAGAAAACTTACTATTTATTCCTATCCTTTGTTTCCTGTCTTTTAACCAGTTATCAATCCATGAAATGACCTTCCCTCTTATCCCATGACAACTTACTTTACTTAACAATCTTTGGTGAAGAACTTTGTCCAAGGCTTTCTGGAAATCTAAGCATACTATATCCACTAGATCCCCCCTGTCCACATGTTTATAGACCCCTTCAAAGAACTCTAGTAGATTAGTAAGGCATGATTTCGATTTATAGAAACCACGTTGACTTTCCCCCAATAAATTATGTTCAACCATGTGTCTGACAATTTTATTTTTTACTATACTTTCAATTAATTTGCCCAGTACTGACATTAAACTTTGAGTTATGCATATTTGTGTCCATAAATGCATTTCGTAAAGCATGAGGGTTGGAGCGTCAGACCCAATATATTAATTCTGTTTCACAGTAAAACTTAGTCTTTGAAGAGAGATGTGAATGCTGCTGTTCACTTAGCTGAGTCTGCGTTGTTTGGATGGAAAAACTTGCATTGCTTCAAAAGGTCTGTTCAAAAACATTTCTTTCAAAAGTGCAGTGTAAGTTTCCAAGAATCCTGAAATTGCACAAGTGCTGTTTACACTGTTACAGGATGACTATGTTGTAAGAATTCCAGCTATGCTTTGAACAATATAAACATATACTGTTTTGCCTATTGCTTTTTTCAGATTAGTTGAAAACAAAAAAAATCAAAAATATGTTATACGTTGCTAAGACTTTCTGAAGTTTTTACTTAAGAGAAGTATTTTTCTTAGGTCTACTCATAAGCCAGGATACTCTCATGATTGCTGCTAACATGACATAGCGCACAGAGTCAATTATGCACAGATATTCTAAACTAATCATCCCTCTTTTGCTGCATACGTCAATCAGCTGTGAAAGAGTTAAAATAAAGGTAGTTCACCAGCTCTGTTGCCTCAGGCTGTCCACAGACTGGAAGACATTGCCTCACCTGTTTCTGCTTCACATTTTGAAAATAATCTACACAAATATAAGGGTTAGAGACATTAGTAATATTTTCCCTCATCAGTTGGGTTGCTTTATTTTGTCTGACAGCTACTTTGCGTATCCAGGAGAAATGTTCTCTTTCTTCTTTTAAAATATAATTTCATTGAAAATGTTTGTATGTTGCCTCTTATATGTGTGTGTGGGTGGGAAGTTTCATATCATTCCATAGAGTGAATCAGTCCTAGGAATATTGTATTAAAGCATGAATTGTTTGTATATTTCGTTGAAGGGTATAGAAAAGATGTATGCTACACAAGCAGAGTATGTGTAGACTGCAAGCTTCTTTCAAAAGAGAGCATTCACACCTCAAAACTAGATCAAAAAAGTAATCTGCTTTTTCGATAGAGAGAGTCCAGACTGCATGAACGCTCTTGAAAGAAAACCTGGATTGCTATTCACAGAATGACCACCAGGGCACCTGTGCTTTTTTCGATTGTCTCTTCTTTCGAAAAATATCCCTGTTCTGTATCCACACATGCATTTTTCCAAAAGAGCTCTTTCAAATAAGGCATTCTTCCTTGTAATTTGAGGTTTACCAATGTTGGAAAACCCCTCTGAATTCTTCCGATTTAATTTTGAAAGAACACAATTGCAGGTGAAGTTTTTTTCGAAAAAACAATGTAGTCTAGACATACCTGCAATGTGGTGAGGTGATAATTGGCCATGTTCTGTAACAGCTTCCCAATACAAGTAGTGGAGACAAGACACCTCAGTGGTTTCAAAATGGAATGTATTAATGGATTACAGGCCAGGGTGCCTGTGACAGCAGCCCTGTCTCTTCTGCCAGTGGCCTTGCCCCTTCTGGAAACACAGAGCCAACCCTCATATCTTGCCCTGGGGCCTGGCAATTCTGATGGGCCACCTGGACATTGGGGCTACGTCTACACTGGCCCCTTTTCCGGAAGGGGCATGTAAATTTCACTAGTCGTCGTAGGGAAATCCGCGGGGGATTTAAATATCCCCCGCGGCATTTAAATAAAAATGTCCGCCGCTTTTTTCCGGCTTTTAAAAAAGCCGGAAAAGAGCGTCTAGACTGGCCCCGATCCTCCGGAAAAAGTGCCCTTTTCCGGAGGCTCTTATTCCTACTTCAAAGAGCCTCCGGAAAAGGGCGCTTTTTCCGGAGGATCGGGGCCAGTCTAGACGCTCTTTTCCGGCTTTTTTAAAAGCCGGAAAAAAGCGGCGGACATTTTTATTTAAATGCCGCGGGGGATATTTAAATCCCCCGCGGATTTCCCTACGACGACTAGTGAAATTTACATGCCCCTTCCGGAAAAGGGGCCAGTGTAGACGTAGCCTGAGGTTCTTATTGTTTTTCTGGATCCTCCATTAAAATGTGTCTATTCCAGCCAGCTCTTCATGGTGCATTCATACAGCCCCAGACATCAAGGTATCACAAACACCTCAGATCTCCTGCTCAGTTCCAAGAGACATGTTTTAACCCAGTGGCCACCAACCAGTACATCGGGATCTACCAGGAGATCTAGGAGCCTCTGACAGGTGATCCTGACTGGTTTGGCCAGGAAGCTATCAAGCACTGGTACTTCAGTTACCCCTCTACCTACTGTCATGTTGCTCCTGCCCTCTGCCTTGGAGCTGTCCCCTGTGGCATTGACACCGTAGCTACCGATCGGGGACCCTCCTAAATTGGTGTGACCTTGCTTTAGGGCTGCGTGTGGGTGACATGCAAAGTAGATGGAACGGTTGGAAGGATTAGGGATTTGGGGTGAAACAGTTATCTGGGGGAGAGTGTGTGACGAAGATGCATAGGTTACATCACACCACATCTGCAGCTGTCTTCCTGACTTTCACTTCCATTCTTTTTTAGCCTACTAACTATTATCTGCTTTATTTCGGCCTACTAAAATTATATTGACTTTGTTTTAGTTAAATAATAATTTATTGTTTTATCCTATATTTCTTTATATAGATTTAAATATGCTGGTAATACAAGGGTCCTACAGAATCCAGTTTCTGTAAGATGGCTGATGGCAATCGACATCAGTAGTGATTTATATGCCCCCTTTGTGAAATGTTTCCATAAAGGGGTGAAGCAAGAGTTTTTTGGCTGGTGCAAGAATGTATTTTTCTAATCCTACCCGGAATTTCTGATATAAATTTGCTAACTTAGCAGTAATGGACATTTCAACTTTACTGGGCAATCACAACAGATGGAGGCTTGTTGACCGCAGCTTCCTGTACAGTTTCCTGTGTCACTTATAATAAATATTCATAAGATACGCAAAGATTTCTTCCAATCAAAGATGGTACCTTCAGTAATCTAGGGGTGTTAGGCCCAGTTATGGCAAAGGGGCAGTATATCCGGACACTTTGGCATCAAAAGGGGTATTTAGACCTAGGGATCTGGGCAGATTGGGGCTGCTGGACCAGTGTAGCTGAGAAGCAGTCCTCACTCGGCAGATCTTATAAGGTCAGAGGAACTAAGTATCTATATCTATTTCTCTTTTACAACTGCTTGCTTTTCTCTTTAATCTTGCTTAAGTCTGCTTTTAGGAATCCTACTAACACTTGCTCCCAGGTCTTCCAGGGAAAGGGAAGCCACCCTTCTCGATCCAGCCTTGGGGTCCCTGTGTGTGTAATTAGTAGTAGTAGTAGTAGTAGTAGTAGTAGTAGTACACTTAGATAACTTTTGAGTTGATTGTGTTAATGACATCTTGGGAAGGAATTCAAGTGATCTGTGTTCTAACTGTAGATTTTGCCGTGGTAAGTCTAATCATTATTCCATTAGCAATAAAGCTGTTTCCTATTTCATTCCTTGAGTTAAACTGTGGTTGTTGTCTGTCACCTGCAGACCCTCAAGAGAGGGAACCTTGTGGTTCCACTGAACTGTGACCTGGGATAGAGGATGAACCTAGATTTTTTTCCTGATCAGATCGGCGAGCCTTACCCATCCAAATTTTACAAAACTCCTTCCCAGGCTATACTTTGAAGTTCCTTTAAGGAGGGTATGTGGGCAGTGGGGAAGCCCATCAAAAGAAGTACTGCCAAAAACCATCAGAAAGCTGAAGATTGGGGCAGGGCAGAATGGTGGAGGCAAGAGACCTCTATGGGGATGGTCCCTGACTCAGTAGACATCCTGAGACTGGTGAGGAGCTGAGATACTTGAAGCTCCTGAGGAGAGATCACCTCCCCACTCATCCTACGAAGTGGTCCAAGAAAGTTAAATGCAACAATACATGGATTTTCCATGTGTGAATACTTAGTGTGATGAGATTTCACAAAGATTTACAAACATAGACAATGTTTGGACAGTTGTTCAGGAATTCTAGTGATTTAAGTGTGTAAAGTTCTTGATTGGTACATTTAGGGGAAATGTATTTTTTCCTGTGCATGTAACAATCACATATGGTAAAAGCCCAAGCATAAAAGGTTTTGGCTCTAGAGTATTTTGAAAGAGAAAGTGCTAAAAAATTGAAAAGGGGGATTTATAATGTTGGAGGTACATTAGTGGAGTCAATGAGAAATAGCAATGAATAACCATATAATTAATTTTACCATCCATGGGTAAAGGAGCCATACCAAAAACTTAGTACCATAGAATGGGTTTCTTAAATTAAAGTAAAGAAAAGGAAGCTATTGAAAAACTCCTTAATGTCAAAAGTTACCTAGACCTAGTAAGGAGGATTTTTATTTAACAAAGACAAGGAAGTTTTGCAATGTTCCTTAAAAAAAAAGGAAGCGGATAGATAAGAACAAAAATATGGCAAAATACAAGATTTTATTTGTGCACGTAAATGTCCTTCAGAAAATCCATCCAAATGGATTTTGGTAGAAACATAAATTCTTACAGGTGAAAAATAAGATAGTATTAAGTGGACTAATTTGGATTTTAAATAGCTGATAGATTAAAAAAATAAAAAATAAGAAATAATTGAAATGTGTCACAAGCAGAATACCTGTAAATGAACTGGTGTATCCATTCAACTATTAGGTAATAAAGGGAGGGTTTAAGGAGGACAAATGTATTACAATGAAGCAAAATTATGTCGTTGTGTCATTCATTATAAAAAAGGATTGTGAAGAGACATTTACTATTTACAGGTTAAAAGAAGAGGTACTGGAAGTGGCTGAATTGTTAAAAGAAAAGGTGCTGAACAAATTGATAAATTAAGGAGTAATAAGTCAGCAAGGTGAGAGGGTATACATCCAAGAGTAAGAATGAATGGCAGGAAGGTTAAGGTGTATGATGGACAGTGAAGTGACCACATTCGTAAGGGGCACTAAATGCTGTAGGTTAGTCAAGACAAGAGAGAAGGGTCAGAAACCAACTCTCAAGTATGGGACTGTCAAGGCAGCATAATGGCTGATGAATTTCATTGCAGCAATGCAAGATAATGCACATTGGAAAGGCTAATAATAATGATTATGTCAGTTTCTCATTTCTGAGTTCAAAATGAGGTCATACATGTAAAGGGAAAGCAAATGATACTGAAAATATTATAATGCATTTATATAAACCAATAATATGTCATCATTGTGTTCAGTTCTGATCACCTCTCCAAAGAAATTGACAGATTCAGAGACTTGCTGAAAATGTATTTAGAGCCATATAAGTAGAGACAGACAAGACTAGTAATGTTTCAAGTAGACAGCAAATGAGTAAACAGGGATAGGAAAAAATGGAAGGTATCAAGAATAATAATGCCTAAGGCCAGGTCTCTTCTAGACCCGGAAGGTCAACTGAAGGTAAGCACCTCCAGCTTCGTAGAATACATAGCTGCAGTTGGCTTAACTTAAGCTGAGCTTGGCAGCATCCACACAGAGGGAGGCTGATGGGAGCAAATGCTCCTGTCGACTTCCCTTACTCCTCGCGACTACAAGGAATGCAGTCACTGGTTGGAGCTGCCCTTGGCATTCGATTTACGGGTCAATACCAGACTTGCTAAATTGAACCCAAGAATGCTGATCTCTGGCTTGGCAAGGAAGACCTGCCATAACTCTTACATAAAGGCTTTAATCTCTAGCTCTCAGAAGGTTTTACAAAAGAAGGATAGTCCTTGCATAGTCCTTGCTACTGAGGCTTCCCACCTAAGTGTCTGAACCCCAAGACTATAGGTTATAGAGCTACCACTGCCTCTGTTTTGTGCAGAAATAGCAGGGAACTCCTGCCACTCCCACAAGAAAGGTTTGGCTCCTGACTCCAGGAGAAGGTTACGTGTCTGCATAGCCCAGGCAAAGGTAGGTGTCTCCCTCCAGCCTCAATTTAGAAATCTAACTCCTGGAAAGGGATGAGGATCAGGACTCATCCGTCTCATCCATATCTGCTATTGGTTTGCATTGACAGCTCAGTTCCTGTCATACAGCCTTTCATAGGCCCCTTTCTTACAGAGCTAGCTCTCTGATGCGCTGTACAGAGAGCCTAGTTGTCTAGCCCAGGGTTTGTGGATTCTACCGAGTTGCAGAGCACCACAATGGCTGTGACCCTGTGGGCCTAAGAAGCCAGCCCAAAGTCACAGTGAGTCTGTGACAAAGCAGAAGCTTGCACCCCAGTCTCCCAAGAACCAGCATAGTGCCTTAAACACTGGACCTTGTTGCTGGTACATATGTGTGATTTACCATATTTAGCTGAATCTAGGGACTAATGAGAAAGTCTCTGATTCTGTCCTTCAAAGAAATTGAGCTTAACAGAAACCTAAGTCTGCTTTGGCATCAGTTTCTTCTCTTGTAGGTTTTATTCCTATTTCCAAGAAAAATAGAGGATGGTGGCCACTTTCCAATTTCTTTCCATGATTTGGAGCATCCTGTTCTTTCCGATATGGTGTGATGACTCTGTGAATACAAAGAGTAAGTATAATACTTTATAACTGGAGGTATGTCTACACTACAGAGTTAGTTCGAACTAACGGATGTTAGTTCGAACTAACTTTCATAGGTGCTACACTAGCGCTCCGCTAGTTCGAACTTAATTCGAACTAGCGGAGCGCTTAGTTCAAACTAGGTAATCCTCATTTTACGAGGATTAAGCCTAGTTCGAACTAGCTAGTTCGAATTAAGGGGTGTGTAGCCCCTTAATTCGAACTAGTGGGAGGCTAGCCCTCCCCAGGTTTCCCTGGTGGCCACTCTGGCCAACACCAGGGAAACTCTATGCCCCCCTCCCGGCC